CGGGTTACCCTCGTAAGATCCCAGGCGCCGGTCACCCTACGTTAGTTTGCAACCTCTCGACATCACGATCCCCGCTTTCTACGCGGCCTTACTCATTTCCAACCTTGCTTTTATGGTTTCGCAGTGCTTGTATTGGAGAATCATGACGCCTACGTCCTCGGGATGGTGAACGACGTAATCGCCGAGGCCGAAAGCGCCTACGGGGCAAACCTCATTAGAATGGATGTGCGTACCGTGCAGGTGGATAGGGAGTATGTCGACGAGAACTACGAGAAAGGTAGACCTTGAAATGCGATCTTTTCGCTTTTCGGAAAGCTGCGAACGCAGTTCAAAAGAGATCAGAGTGGAGACGGAGACGAGCGATTTTTCATTATTGTTTCGTACCATCTCAAACATTACTTTTAAGTCTGTAATAATTGAAAGCAACGAATAAGCATTAGCCAGCACATGATTGCACACTCGACTCTCGAATCCAATTTTTAGAAGAGGTTTATTATTTTATTTGAATGTTCTTTTTGCTTTTCCTTTTTAAATATATAAAAAACAAAAGTAGGTTTTTTCTATCTTCAATTATATTACAAATTATGGGTTTTATTCGTTCAATCGACTTAATACATAATGATGATTATTTATTTGAAGGTTATATTTTAGCAAGTGGACACTAATTTTTCATGCTTTGTTCTATTTTATATCTAAATATTAATATAATATTTGTTTATAATAATATTTAATAATATTATATATACAATATTAATGTAATACTTATATATACATGTGTTTCAATTCACGCCACTATCTAATGAAAAATGTTTAAAGTCTTTTCAAGTAATTTTGTTATGGAATACTTGTTTTATGCGTATACTTGAATTTTGTTTTAGTAAAATCCGATCTAATCTTTTAAAAATCATACCGTCGAAGCGGACAATCGTATTTAATTTAAATATCATTGATTAGACAATCAATCGACAATTCTATTATATTTTTTGATCTATTTAATGAATTTTATGTTATAAAAATATGTAATATTTTATAGAAATTTTATGTGAAAAAGATTTATTAATTTTTATTATAATTATATAATGATTATTTTTGAATTACTAAAAATTTCAACAAGAAATAAAAGTTAACTAGTGATATAATTCGAAGATATATAATAATTTATATAATTTTATAATATTTTCTTATAATATTAAAGGATATTAGTTTGAAATTAAAAAATGAATTAAAAAAATTTCATCATATTTGGGATATGAAATATATACTTAATGATTTTCTTTTCTTTTCTTTTTTTATTTATAAAATGACCTAATATTAAAACCTTTGTCGGAGTTCCTTTTAAAAGATATTATATCGATATATTGCATAAGGAACGCGTTACTCGGGATGAATTACTGCATCAGCTTAAACATATAAAAAGCTTCATTATTAGACAAATTTGAATCGGAGTAATAATCTATTTCGCTTCATACCATAGATTTGCTGCCCAAATACTGAGATTTGCATTATAACATGTTTCATCGTTACCCCTTGAGCCATTCAAACGTCCAAGTATCATTTCACAATGATTGACCGATAATGCCAATCAACTCCTCGTTCTAGTATGTGCCCAGCTTTACAAGGGCATCAGCATCATCCTGGATATGACGTGGACCGGTTGGGACAAGTTGCGAGAGCTCGCGCACGACTTTGGCATTATTTACAAACGTGGCGACATGATAATTAGTCCTTACGTCCAGGCCATCGACGACATCATGATGTTCAAGAACACCACCGATATTGCTCTCATCTTCCAAAACGAGAAGGGTCGGTATTGCCTATTCCGATATTTAAGTCATACGATGCGAGTAGTAATATTACAATACTAATTTCTATTTTCATGAATGGCGGTCTTTTTGTTTTTAAAATGTTGTACTCCAATAGTAATTGTAGCTTTTTTCTTTTTTATTAGTTTCTTCTTTTTCTTCTTTTTTCTTTTTTCTTTTTTTTTTTCAATTTACAGTGTTCAATTGGGGCCAAACAAATATTAGCCTATTTTGTCGATATATGTATTCTGGCAATTGAAAAATATTCGTACACTTTAAGTAATATGCTTGCTCCCTTGTCGGAAAAGTTATTTCACGATTTGTTAATTGAATAAGCGATTCTAATAAACGTGTGCGCGTATTAAGTTTATGGAGGCACGCGCAGTGTAAAAAGAGCGATGGGAGGAGAAAACGTAATGGGTAAGCTGTGGCGGCCAATTTCAAGCATCAATTTAGTGGAAAATATGATTCATTTTTGGGTAAGAAGACACCTTTGTCGCGAAAGGAATTCTCGTAGCAAAAGAAATACTGGCTATTTGCTCAAGCGAGAGACGAGCAACAAAAGCCCTTAGTATCCGTCCGACGAGCCATTCAGGAATGAAAAGCTAGTTTTATCAAGAGCAAATTAATAGTTAACGCACGCGCGAACAGCAAATATGATATGGAACAAGGATTCCTTTGTGGGGCGCGCATCGGCATCCCGGGAATGCGGCTTTCATGCGGAGCGGACTTCCGCGGAGATGAAGTCACATTCCCAGGAGAGAAATAATTTCGCCGGGACCGAGGCTCGCTTTTCGCCGCAAGTGGAAATTCTTCGGGCCGCCCCGAGACGAGTCCCCGCGCGTTCGGTAAGAGGACGCCGCCGAACGTAAAAGGAATCCTTTTCTCGGGAGGGCATTGTTCGCTCGCCGGCCCGGTCTGCCTCCCAAATGTTGCCCTTCAAAGAAAGGAAAAAAGCCGGCGAATTGTCACGGCCGGGGGATGGTTCCTTGGCCCGCTCTCGATCCATTCTTTCGCGAGTTGGACACGTACGACGTGGCCGGTGGCGAGGGTGCCGCGAGGAGGGGTGGGGGTACACCCGAGGGCCGCGCTTCGATTTCCCAGCGTGTAATTTGGCATCGATTGCACGTCTGTCGCAGAGCTCAACCAGACCCTCTACTACCTCATCGGCAATTCCATAATCAGGCTCGTCGTCATTGATTACCTCTCGCCGCAGACCGTCAAGCGCATCGGCAGCATGAGGCCTCTGCCTTCTTACTACGCCATTTACGCCAATACCAAACAGATGGAGGAACTTTTCAAAACGGTACGATCTCTCGCTCCTTTCCTTCCCCCCGGCGCTTCTTTTCAATACGCACCTGTAACGAGAAGCGATCGGGGCGCGCGAGTCGCGTGGCACTGTGTACAATGAGCCCGCGTTTTGAATAAAATATGTATTTCCTGTTTGCTCAAGCCTCGAGAAGAAAGAGGCATGAAAACAAGAGTGAGAGAAAAAAAATAAGAAACAAATGATTCTAACACCTGGGCGTAAAATAAACTGCTTTCCCGTGTACCGTGAACCGCTGAAAGCTGAAAACAGTCACGCTTTGTCCGCGTATCGCCTGGGAACGAGGAGATAGATCGCTGGAATTCGTCGCCGTTGCTTTCGAAAAGTGTTGAGCTTAAAGCTAGCGTTATTCACGTATGTGCGCGCATTACGCACAATGTGCTTATGTGTCGTGTCTACATGCTGGATTGCGAGAGGACGTAAGCACACGCGTGGATAATACGTAGGTGCTTGTACATACACTATAATATTAGCTTCTTTTATCCTGCCTATATCTCGTCCATAATTACGTGGTGTCTGGTTTGGACTATTTCATTCAATTTCAGGGCGTCACGATACGAGAAAACAGTTTATTCATCTTGCCAAAGAAAAAAAAAATTGCTTTTGGGCTTTATAATTTTTTATTTAAAATAAATTTGATAAAATAAGTGATAAAAAAAGAAGTTTTTGTACGATGAGTTTATTTACATCGCAATGTGTATGAAATATATTAAATAGAGCATTGGTGTTATTGGTTGCTTTAATTATTTCCAATCGCTCGTGACTAATAATAAATAAATGCATGCTTATTGAAAAAAACCAAAGAACAATAACAAAACAAAACAAAACAAAAATAAAACAAAAACAAAAAACAAAAGAGAAATAGTTAAATCGATTGCAAGCTTTGATAATTTTTATCGATACCTAGACACATTCCCACTTGTCCATTATCCAATAAATCACCATTATCCAGCATAATTTATTTTAGGCTGCCGACGGTGGTCTAGTTAGGCGCAATGGACTATGGCACTTGGTCTTTATGGACAACAATTATGCTCAGTTCTCGTATTTCAAGGGGATTTCCTCGATCAACGTTACCATCAACGCCCTGACCATGAAGGAGGACGTCTGCTGCCATTTAATGTACACCGAGGTCCCATGCAATTGTCCGCCCGACTTCAACGTGCGTCTCTAGCTTACCGAATGTTCAAAATATTTTTCTTCATCTCCATGTCGCGCTTAAATTAAATCATACATTTAATTGAATAATTCAACCATCATTCTCAACATTGTAAATGACTAATGATTGCAAACAATACTTTAGCACATTTTACCGACAATAGATCGTGAGAGTGGGTACTTTTAATGCTTATTTTTATTTATTAATTTACATTGTTTTTTTCTTTTTTTTTTCTTTTTTTTATGTAATTTCTTTAGATATTTGAGCATTATTTTCGTCGACTTGTCAATCTCATTGTCGAAATACTAAGCGAATTACAGTCCTCGAATCTACTTTATGAGCCACAAACGGGCCAGTGTAATAATAAAAATTCATCTACTAACTCCTTGAATGGTACAGTTTTGGATTTCGATAAGAGGCTGCTAGCTGTAAGTATGCAAGGAAAATATTTCACATCATCTATTTAACGTGGGCAACTTTGCTATTGTTAAATATTAACAGAGGAATGTACATGAAAACGCCGGTTAAATATTAAATGTTAGTGGATTATGAAAATTTTAATTACCTAGTCTGACACTTTAAACGTAAAATGAACACATTAAACTAATAGAAATTCCAACGAATTAACGTAATTTTAAAAAACCTATTGTCTCGGAAGGAAATTAATTTAAATTAATCCGGCAAGATTAATCATCGGCAGTTACCAACGACAAATTTCAATTGCCAAATTTTTTAAAATTAGTATTTAAATATAATAAGCGCGTAATAAAATAATTCGATCGAAAATAAAGATACTCATTTTAAGACCGTATGCATAAATATTAAAGGATTATAAATTATAATATTACATTATGAAGCTCTAACTCTCTAACTTGCTTGGGCATTATCAAGGTCTGCCAATTTATCTAAAATCTTCCAATCCAAAAGTAATTCGGTATGTCACATTAATAATTCAATAAAAATTTGGTATTAGCACACAATATAAATAGGAAGGAAGGTTAAATATTTTAATTGTATAGAAAATATCGAAAAACGATACGTTCGAATATTTGGCGAAGACAACCATGATCTCATACAAAGCTACAGTGGATGTGTTTGAATTGAGAAAGGGACAATTGACACAGAACGCCACATGGAATCGTCAAAATGGCATTCAGGCTTTGCCTAATCGCACTATTCAGGCTGCACGACGATACTTTCGCATTGGAACAACCGAGGTAAATACTTCCAAGCGTCGAAGAATAATAAGAATTAATTATCTTAATGATGCTTTGTCGTCTATGCGGCACTTCATTAACGCACACGCGTCCAATGTAATTTGATCGAATATTAAATAGCATTGGCTTACTTACTATTTTATCGCTTTGTCATGGAATTGTTTCGATGATTTTAATAGAGCAACGACTGTAGTCGTTGCCCGTCACAGTCACTAAATATCATTAATCGCTTTCGAAACAAAAAAATAAAAAAACAAAAAACAAGAACAAATTTATCAGTGCATAATTGAAACAAATGTTACTAATAAATTAATACAATTAATATATAATTGAAGTTCCTTTCGAGGTGTTAATCTTTATATCATAAAAAAAGGTATTACTTTTTGTAATAAAATGTTGCTTAATGGAAGTCTATTTATATCCATGTAATTTTACGATTTTACAGTTAAGTAGCAAAATTCACTGGACTCGTGAGATAATATATTCACGCTATTAGAGAGAATATTTACAAGAAAATCGAAACGAATTTTTTTTTTTTTTATCTTATTTTATATTTGATTAGATTTATTTGTGAATAATATTGCCACTTAGTGTGTTTGGACTTGACATAAAAATAACATTTAGAATATGTAATTAAAAATTTTTCTCTCTCTTTTATTTTGTAGAATATTATAAATTGTCATTATTTAATTATCAATATATAAATATATTTTATAGTGTAGTCATACTTTATAAATAATTCATTTGATTGTAATTTCTTTAAAGACAAAGAAACAGCAGAAGAAAAAAACAATCAGCAATTATAAAAGAACGTTTCATTTTAGATAAAACGCTCTTCTCTATGAAAATTTCCAAATCTATCGTATAATCGTATAAGCATGCTTGATCTATTAGATCACTATTTAAAAAGATCGTGGATAAATTTTGCGCACCCGCTTAGTAATCATAAAAGCGTGAATGTTACTTAACTTTGATTAACGACTTGACGCCTATGAATCCATACTATAGTTTCGCTTAATAACTTAATATATCTAATTACACGATTCAATAACGAACATTAATCATATTAATCAAGATGCTATGTCAATTAAAGTGAATTTGTCTAAAGTCTAATCAAATATGGACAATCGAGTATGATATCAGATACAAACAATTACTGAAATTTACAATTATACGATAATGATATATTATTATTATACTTGATATATTATAAATGATATATTATTATTACACTCATCTATTTATATTGTTTTTATAAATTGATAATAATTAAAATATTACTGCAAATACTTTTGCACTCGTATAATAAATGTTGAAAATCATGATAAATCTTTTTTAATGATCACAAATAAATAGGCCATTCCTTGGACAATTAAAAAGAAGGATCCAATTACGAAAGAGTATTTGAAAAATGCAGATGGCGACTTCGTATGGGAAGGATATTGTATCGAACTTATTGAAAAATTGGCTAATATGATGGAATTCGATTACGATCTCGTTATACCAGAGGATGGTGAATTTGGTGTTAGGGTGAATGGAATTTGGAATGGTCTTGTTGGCGATTTAGCCAAAGGAGTAAATATTTTATTTTTATTTCTGCCTGTATATATATATATATATATATATATATATATATATATATACTTTTTAATGATATTTTTTTAAGATTATATAAATATGCGACATAACTTTGTGACTTTTGCTTCTAAATTAGGTTTTAATGATGAAAATCAAAAATAAATAAAAAGATTAAAAATAGTAATTAAATTTAAATTGTTAGTATGAAAAGTATGATTATATTTTACGATCGTTGCAATTATATTTATTAAGAGAAACAAAAAATTGATTCCTTTATCGTACAATTTCTCTATGGTAATTAATATTTTATTAAATAAAATTTTATCATTAGATAATGTTAAATACGAAGCGTTTTCCTTCGGAATTACAAATTTTTGTATAAAGAAAGTCGGCGCTCAGGACTTTTCTAAATTTGTGTGTTTCTCTATATTAGCAAACGGACATTGCGATTGGCGCTCTTACAATGACATCAGAGCGAGAGGAAGTCATTGACTTTGTCGCTCCCTACTTTGAACAATCTGGCATACTGATCGGTAAATCAATTTACAGCATGACTGCCTATCTATTATTTCACGTATTTGAATACATTTTTTGTGGTCATAAATATTTTCCATCTAATAGCCACGGGCCTCTTTTACATAAAGAAATAATTGCTTGAAATTTCAAATCAAACTCGCCTTACGGTCTCTTATAAAAATAATAGAAATTTTATAAAATCTCAATGCTTTCTTAGACACCGAAATGTAAGATCGATTAAAGAATACGAATAATTCAATGCCTTTGACTCGTGTTATTTCCCAATGGTATTAGAATAAAATACTTATTACTATGATGATAGCTTTCGACAAGCTGCCTTTAACACTATTCAAATACTTAATAAACTGACTCAGGCATTATTAATACAAAATGACTGTGCTCATTTAGCATTTAATATTAATGAAAAGACATTGAGAGATGATTTAACTTTTCTTCCATAGTCATGAGGAAACCTGTACGAAAGGCGTCATTATTCAAATTTATGACCGTGCTGAGACTGGAGGTTTGGCTCAGTATCGTCGGGGCTCTAACCCTTACCGGAATCATGATCTGGATTCTCGACAAATATTCTCCTTACAGTGCGCGTAACAACAAACGCATGTACCCCTATCCATGCAGGTATAATTTGTGCGATTGTGCGATGTGTGGCGTTACAGGTAAAGCTGGCGTTTCAAAGTTATTTTGCGCTTCATTTGCTTAGGACATTGAATCCTTTTATGAAAATTCCAATGTGCAGATAAACTTTCTCGAGAAGGTCTTTTTAGTCGAGAATATTGAATTTACATTTTTTTTTCTGCCAGCAATCTATTGTTTCGATCTTTTACGTTCCTTTATGCATTACTCGATCTTTATAAAACGACTGACATTCATAGTAATGTATGCAACATCGAATGAAACTCGCCAAATGAGTAAAGTGCACAAAGTATCCTGAATTAAAGCTTGAAATTTATCGAGATATTGCAGACCTAAGGAAGGCAGGGTATTTCGGCAGTAGTTTGCAAATAATCTGAATCCTACATCCCTACCGCGCGCGATTGATGTTCCAAATATCTTGATGGATCGAAGGCCGATGGTCCGATCGGTTAATCGTTTTTTTCTTTTTCAATTCTTTTCTTTCTTTTTCTTTTTTCATTAGGGAATTCACCCTGAAGGAGAGCTTCTGGTTCGCCTTAACGTCGTTCACGCCCCAAGGTGGCGGTGAGGCTCCGAAGGCGCTCTCGAGTCGTACCCTCGTCGCGGCCTACTGGCTTTTCGTCGTCCTCATGCTCGCCACCTTCACGGCCAACTTGGCGGCTTTCCTCACCGTCGAGAGGATGCAGGTGAGTTTAGTGGCCCCTAATGCGCACCTATCCCGCTCTACTTGGCTGAATGTCACGAGGCGATGTACGAAGGGGCTCACCAGCTCAAGCTCCTCCACTCGAAACATTATCGACGCACTGCCGATCAAACATGAAGCTCTTCGCTCGAGCGATGGACAATTATCGAATCAATTATTTTGCCATTACGATATGCTTGCTTCGCAAAATGAAAAAAAGAATGAGACCAACCGTGGCGCATTCGCGATATATTTTTCAGGCTGTAACGCTATCGTTCGTGTACGTACTTAGCCATCCTATTTCACACGCTAATAACACGCGAGCCAACAGTGCTTTTTAAGTATCAGAAGGAGTTTACGAGGCGAGTTTACACGCGAATGATACGTTCTTACAAGCCGCTCCGCTGCCGTATAATGATAAACTTTCGATTTACGAGCGATAACGAAAACGAATGTTGCAGTCGCCGGTGCAATCGCTCGAGCAGCTCGCGCGCCAATCTCGCATCAACTATACCGTTCTCGACAACTCCACGATTCACCAGTACTTTAAGAACATGAAGAGCGCCGAGGAGAAGCTTTACCAGTGAGTACGGACTAACAGCCAGTCATGCGCCTCTACTCCGATGTAACCGGCTTTCGTTTATTTCCAGGGTCTGGAAGGAAATCACGCTGAACAGCACGAGCGATCAAGTGGAGTATCGCGTTTGGGACTACCCGATTAAAGAGCAGTACGGCCACATCCTCCAGGCGATAACACAAGTTGGCCCCGTCAAGACCATCCAAGAGGGATTTCAGAAGGTGAGTAGAGAGTGGATGAAGTGCCTAGGCGACGTCGGGATGATAATGCCCGTGGGCCCTGTTTTTCCAGGTGATCGACAGCGAGAGCGCGGAGTTTGCCTTTATTCACGATTCCTCCGAGATAAGGTACGAGGTTACGCAAAACTGCAACCTCACCGAAGTCGGCGAGGTATTCGCCGAGCAGCCTTATGCCATTGCCGTGCAGCAGGGCAGCCATCTGCAGGAGGAGATCAGCAGGAGGTATTGCGTGGCGTTTTTACCCTCCGCGCGTTATCTCGCCGATTAATGTTTGACTGAATAATAAAAAGCAAATGACCACCTTATCTAGGATACTGGACCTGCAGAAGGATAGGTACTTCGAGTCCCTCAGCTCCAAGTACTGGAATCAGTCGCTCAAGGGATTCTGCCCAAATGCCGACGATAACGAGGGCATTACCTTGGAGAGCTTGGGTGAGTTGGTTTTGTCCGTACTTCCGTACTCTTCCGAGAACTACGCATTGCGATTACGGCGACATCAATGCGCCAAAGCATCGACAAAGTAATCCATCAGGACACCTCGTGTTTCTTTTAACAATGGAAAGTGCCATTTTCCCAATGATCGATCCTTCAATCAATTTGACTCTAAGACTTACATAATCGACACTCGTAATCCTTTGCATTAGTTTTTGTCGGGTTTTCAAAAAGTGTCGTTTAATGTGCAGTTATCGCGTAATCGGATGCTTGAAAGCCAGCGTTTTTTAACGATTGAATTTTCTAATTCTTACGTAATCAACACGTAATGAACGCCCCACACAGATGAAGATAATTTTATAATAACACGATACAATATTTCGAGAACTTTGCGAGTGATTTTTGTAATATTCCGTAGTTACCTCACCATCAATGCAAATATATTATTTATTAGTATGGCTACGAGCTTTCGTGCATATAAACTAACTAACATGTTTGCACGTTGAGCTAACCGAGACGAGTAATTACGAATAATATTCCGAAGAAGGCACAATAGTAGTAACTAACGCAATTTATTAACACCTTAGTCTTGGCTCGAAACATCGCGACAGCTGCGCAAGAATTATCACGCGAAACTATTGATTTCGAGAAGACAAGTGTACGGGATTGCGTGAGTGGAGATAAGATCTCATACTCTATCTGCATTGGCATTCTTTACATTCGTAGGTGGGGTCTTCATAGCTACGCTGTTTGGCTTGGCCCTGGCGATGGTGACGCTGGCCGGCGAGGTGATCTACTATCGGCGTCGCAACGCTAAGCAGGGTTTAGGTCAGCCGAAGGGTCGACGAAAGTCCAAGGAGATCGCGGTCGAGGAGGCGACGGTACAAGGACTCACGGCTCTGCAGCTCAAGCCGGCGCCCCTCATCGGCTTCGACGACAAGCCACTGAGCACGAAGCCACGAATCTCTCACATATCCGTCTATCCACGACCTTTTCCCTTCAAGGAATGAGCATCACGTGCACCGACGAACCACCCCTCTGCCGTACTATCTTTCAGCCCCTTCCCTCTCCGCCCCATTAGCACTGTACGTACATCAAGTGCCGACCATGTCTCTGTAATTCGTCAATAAAATGAAGTGCATACATTTGGAAATTGGTTTCTCATTCATTTTCACCCGCGCACTGCAATATGGGATGCCGGTTGTCATGCGACGAACTGGCCACTAAAGGCCCACAGTCAATAATAGCGTGTGGGGTTGTTTGGTGGGTCGGTTGGTAATGGTGAAGGTGGTGGTGGTGGCGGTGGGTGATGGGTGATTGGTGATGACGATGGAGGATGGAGATGGGGGAGGAGGAACATAGATCGACGGCCGTTTACGTGTGCGGCGTATTGCGCGATGAAGTCATCGCCCGTGAAGATAATCGTGTGGTAATCGTTTGCGTCGGTGACCGGCCGATCGGCCGTGACGCTCGACTTCTCCCCCCCCCTCGCCCCCCTGCGGTCGACTCGCGCTGCCCGATGCTTTTCCATCCCGTTCGGACGTGAGCTCGGGAAGAAAGGTTGGTTATAATCGGGAGCGAGGCAAGAGCCCGGCAACGAGGATTGCGCAATTAACAATCGGAGCCTCGTGCGCTAACTTCCGTCAGCCAAAGGTTTTGTCCACAATAAAAACAAAGAAAAGATCGACTTCGTTCTCCGTCGCGCCGCCTGTCCGCTCGCGTATGCATAAGGATCTCGCAAAAGCTCACGGCATGATAAAGCCATCCGAGCTCCCGGTATTGTCACTCCTACGCAAAATATCCCGGGATTCTCGCCTCTAATGCGTGTGAAATAATTAGTCATGGAGACCGATGCACCCACGCAATCGCTTAAGGCAATGAAAACTCCGGCTTTTCCCGCGTCTCTTTGATCGTTAAGTCGCTGGCTTTTCCAAGATCGGCGTTCGCTCCCGGCGCGTTCCTTCTCTTTGCGAAAGAGGAGAAACTCGAACGCGCCGCCCACGGTGAAACTCATCCGGCCGATCGATCCAACCACTATTCGCGCGAACGCATCGAGCGAAACGATCTTGCGGTCTAGTGGCGATCCCCTGAAGCGAGACCACGCAGGCGAATCTAGCAGTCAAATCTTTCAAATTGCAACGATTTTCGAGCGCCAATGTGACGGTAGCGCCCGCGTCGAGAGTAGGGAGGGAATGTCCCCTCGAGTGGTCGTGCGCGGTTACAGCCGCGTCGCGCCCTGGAAAGTTCTTATAAAGTCGCTGTGCCCGTTCGGCCAAGTCATTTCGCGGGAGAGTAATGATCGTTAACGAGCCGAATGCACCCGGACATGGCATTGCGTAAGGTAAGGGACCCGATAGTCATCGACGAGGCAGAGGAGGCCATGGGCCGACAATTCACATCGCGTTTGCATTTTCAGATAACCATTGGCCTAGTGGTCGCGTTGGCCTCCCTGGTCACCGCCGACTTCCATTACGAGCACTTCAAGACCTTCGGCATCGATGACGCGCGCAGGTCGTGGCTCGCGAACGGCCATCCGGGGCGCTCCTATAGGTCCGAGTCGACGCAGCTGGTCCCACGCCTCGCCGGCGTCCCATATCCTTACGACAACGCGAAACCAGACACCAATCCCATACCCTCGATTCTCGGGCCTGGAATCAAGAAGATTCCCAACGAGGACAAGGCTTTTAAGAAGGCCCTATCGTCCTCGGCCTCTATCGGCCGGCTCCCCGATCCCGTCGACGCACGATTCAAGGCCCCAAGGCTCAAGTCCGGGGCGCCGCGTTGCCAAGAGATCGCCGCCAAGCCGCAGAGCCAAGTAGGCACGGGCCCAGCTACTTACGGCCAAAAGCCAATTACGTGCTACAGATGCAAGGACTCGAAGAACGGAGCCACGTACGAGCACTGCTCCTACTCGGCTGAGCAGCCACGATCCGACACCCGACAGCCGAGGTCCAGCCTCGCCGCGGTTAAGCTCCTCGACAGTCTGAGCTCCGCCGCGACACCTTATCGCGACTCGAGGAAGGCCCCGGCGACCGGCGATCGGCTCTCCGGATCCTATAGATTTAGCGACGACTACTTTCAGCCTGAGGCTTCCCACGAGTTACCCGCGGGCTACGACAAGACGGTCGACAGTTGCGAGCGCGTGAAGCGCGACTCGATGATCTGCATGATCTGCAAGGACCCGAAGACCAATGGGAAGTACGAGCAGTGCTCGTACGTGGCCCAGCCGAACGAGAAGGCGTACGCTTACACGAAGTCGAGCTCGTTCGGCCCTACGAAGGTGAAACCGCGCGATCAGCCGCGTGAGAATGCCGATAACAAGGGGAGGAAGATCGCGGGTCAGCGGAAGGACGACGAGGTGTCCGAGTCCGGGGAGGATGGTTACGGGCATGAGACGGAGCCCGAGGAATTGTCCGAGCGCGAGGAGTCCGAGGAGCGGAGGAGGCATAGTGCCGAAGCTTCGGGCTCGGCCGAGGATAAGGAGGGGCACGGATCGGACTACGTGCCGGAGCACACTTATCATTACCCCGGCTACAAGGATTATAAGACAAGCTTCGACAATTACGATGCCGAGGACGGGGACGAGGATTCTGGATCCAGCCGGAGCGCCAAATCCAAGTCCAACTGCAAAACCTTGGAAAAGGACGGACAAACGTGCACCACGTGCACGGATCCAAAGACGGGCGGCAAGTCCGAGAGTTGCAACTACTCGCACGAGCCGAAAGACAAGGTCTACAAGTACAGCAAATCCAAGAGTTTCGGCTACCCGGAGTCTCGGCAAGCGAGCGATGGCGAGGGCGAGATGAAGTCGGATTCCTTGGATAAGCGTGAGCGCGAGAGTAGTGCCGAGGATTATACCGGTGACGCGAGCGAGCCCTCGACCTTGGATTACATACGCTCGGAATCCGAGAAGATATCTGAAAAGGTAAAGGGAAAGGGCGAGTGCCAGAAGATAAAGAAGAACGCTATGGTCTGTACGATATGCAAGGATCCGAAGACCGGCGGGAACTTCGAGCAGTGCAACTACTCGTTCGATCCCGACGACAAGGTCTATGCCTACTCCAAGTCCACGTCCTTCGGCAGTCCAACCAAGACATCCGCCGAGGATGATTACGCGAGCAGTGACGAGGAACGTCCCGATGAACGTCCCGAGGAACGTCACGAGGAACGTCACGAGGAACGTCACGAGGAACGTCCCGAGGAACGTCTCGAGGAACGTCCCGAGGAGACCTATAGCTTACCCATTATCTATCCGACGGGAACATCGGTTTCGGACTACGTACCCAAGGCTAGTAAGAGTCAATCTAGCGGCTCCTACGTAACCAAGAAACCCCAGGTAGTTAACATTTACCATCGTACGCAAAAATTACGACCTTAACTCCACCCTGGCTCGCCTCCAAGCCATGCAGTATTATAAGTATAATATCATAAAATCTATAAACTTTCTAGCCGAGTAGATAACACGCATAGAATTGCTTTTATTTTATCAGCGGTGCTTTGTAAATGCGCAAGCCGTAGAGTTTATTCTTAAAGATGCGATGCTGAGTGAGGAGAGGCGCTTGATTGTATGGGTTGGCTCGTTCGTTATATATTGCATGAGCTTGACGAATACGATGTTCCCATATTCGACTTCTCTTTTGGCTTTGCTGAGAATATTGAAATGACTGAATAACACGCGAACTGAACATCGAGTCAAGATCGTACTTTATCAGTAAAGTCCTTAAACTTTGACGGCGCGCAAGCTTTTAGACAATGTAATAAAGCACGTGTACGAGCCATTAAGGCGGCCGTGGATTTTTAATATAACATAAATGAAATGAATTTGACAAAAGGTACAAAATGACGAGGAGCAGAGCGAATCTCATGACAAGGCATCGAAATCAAAGGTAGACTCTGGCTTTTACGACGCGACGGTGCGCCGAGCCGAGATCGAGAAGATCGTAAAGAAAATAGGGGAGGAGGATCGATCCAAATGCAAGAAAGTCCTACGCGGCGACATGACTTGCTATAAATGTGCCGACGACAAGGGATTCACGAACGAGGAATGCGTCTACGTCGCCGAGCCCCGAGTCGAGGCGTCCAAGAAGAAGAGCAGCCAGGTCGAGGAAGCGTCGTCGATATCCGTGGCTACGGTGAAGCCATTTGACGGAACCAACTCGTCGACAACGGAGAAGCTGCTGGAGCCGCTCACGTCCAATAGTCGGATGCCCGTAGTGAGCAATAGGAAAATACGTGAGGCCAAGGGGCAGCCGAGGGATCAGGACGAGGAGTTCGAGGTGCTGGATGAGGAGCGGCGCGAGGCTGAGCCCTATGAATACGTGGCGGAGACCAGACCCGTTTATGACAAGGTGCTGGGCATTACCCTGCCGGCCTACATGTTGCAAAAGTCCCCGCACGAGATCGAATTCGACGCGATTGTTGAGAACTCGACGTTTTAGGAATCCTTATGATTATTATAATTTAATCTCTCGCAAAACTATTTGTAAAACTTTGCAGAGTGCCAATTCCTTCCGGGTACACGCGACGAAAAATTGTATTACTAGATACTTATAATCGTTGTTTTGCTATTCTACAAATTTTACGCCCTAGGTATGTTGGATAAGTGGCCACGAGCTTTGAAACTGTTAATATGCGAATTTATGCAAACATTTAAGTGCGAGAAATCGTAGACGTGTGGTTAATTGTTCATAGATGATCGCAATTGACTGATACATTGAAAAAAAAGAAGATGTATAATAAAATGTTTTGCGATTGTAAGCTTCGAAGGTAAAGTTTTGACAAATAAATTACAAAAGAAATAGTTGGAAAGAACGCAACACGACAAAAAAAAAAATAAATAAAAAAGATAAAATTTTAAAAATAGAAAAAAATCGAGACAAAAAATACAAAATAAAGACAAAAGGCGTTCTATCGTTATTTTTCAACATAAAGGTAACATGGTAAGCAATAGAATTCAATCATGCGAATCTTGAGTCATTTGATAAAAAAATTTTACGCAATTACTTTCTCATCTTACAGTATACGCGCTACGGCACTGTGACAGTTGATTACATTAGTTCTTTACATTTTTTTAAAATTTTTTTTTATTTTAGACTTTTTATATTGTAATGGACTTTTTTGAAATTCAAGAAAGCCTTATCTATTTATGTGACGAAAATTTATGAAAATTTAAATTTACAAATTATTATTTTTCTTCAAGGATTTTTTTGGGGGGGGGGGGAGGGATTAATTTCAATATTGTCGTGGAAAAACATAATTTTACAGATAATACTTAATGTATTTTATAATTAATAACTAATTAATAATAAAAATGATATTTAAGCCCTTTTCCTCACGAATAACTTATTCATATTTATAAATCATATGTTTCATTTACATTTGAGGACTTTTGATTTCGCGATTTTATACTTCATCGCACGTATTTTTATCAAATTATCAGAATATAGTGTATTTTACTTGATTATTTACAATAAGCATTCTTGTGTTTTAGGAATAATTTATCATATTCAATTATCCTTACTAAATTTCCGCATGTTGAATTTACAAATCATAACTTTCAATACATAACTTTCGTTTTATGAAATTTACTCTCAAGTATAATAATGTAAAAAATTATTATATTACTAGATTGGTCTTGTATCTCAAAAAAAAAAAAAAACAATGTGATTTCTATTTCACGTAGACAATTTTACATTTGTATAAAAAATCATTTTTAATATTTATAATACGCATTGGGGATATTGTTATCATACATACTTTTCTTATTATTTCTAGTTATAAAGCCGAAAGTATTTGGGAGATAAAAAATATAATGTGTTTGGATATTTCATAAGACACAACGTAATTATCTTAAAAATTTGTAGTTAATTTAATAATTTATTTTTCTTATGATTGACAAAGTTATTCGTTCGTTGTTAAATCTATAAAGGAAATTGATATTAAAATCACATATATTGCATAAATTACAAAATATTTGAACAATTATTTTTACAAAATTATTATTACAATATGAAAAAGTTAAATATCTATAATATTGCTCAATAATTTTAAAGACCTCTGTTTTAAACAAAAATATCGAATTTACAGATCGATTATTTTAAAATGTATCGATTGGAAAGCGGAAATAATTGCTAACTGTGGCGTTAATATTTCGTGTTTGAATTACTAATTACAAATGCAATATTATATACTGTAAGTCATATTTTTTGTTTATGTTGCACGTACCATTTAGTTACATAGAGCAATAAATAATGAATAAATACATAAAATTAGCATAAAATGTAAATAAAAAAATTTAATAAAAATATTATTAAGCATATATTTATTTAAGTAGAATTTTGAACATTGTTAAAACAGTTTTTATAACAACAATTTAAGAATATTGAGTATATCGGCGTCTTATTTATATTTCTGAAAACTAAATCATCTGACTCAATTTGCTGTTTGTATGAAAATTATGTTTCAAGCAATTTCTTAATGCAATTGTAAATCTAAAAAATAAATATAACGAGCAAACATCTCTGATTTTAGACTTCATATATTAATTTCATTTTTATAATAAACTGATATTTTGATCGAATCCTTTATTACGAAAAAAATCTGGCTTTTCTTTTAAATTAACATTCTCAAATTAAATATATATTATATATATTTAATATTTTTATTACTCCATATAAATTCACGTATTTTAAATAGTTAAACATTTGAGATTAAAAGATTAGTAAAACGTTATGACATTTTTGATAAATAAAATATATGAAATATATAATACCTAGTCATAACGTTTATTTATAATTGAATTTTTAATGAGAAACTAAATTACATCACTATATGATACTCGATAATAATTTATTTATTGTATTTGATATAATTTTATGTAATAATGTATTTTTTTACCTTTAATAATATTATAATTTTTGCTATATCTTAAAACAAACAAACAAGCAAAAAAAAAACAAACAAAAACAAACAAAAAAAACAAAACAAAAAAACAAAAAAATTTTTTTAATATGTTAAATATTTAAAAATCATTATTCTCAATATTATTAAGTCTTATTATAACTTAATATATTTATAAAAAGTCATTATTTTATTTAAACACCCAATACAGGGGCAAGTAAAACTTTAATCCAATTTTAGGTATTATAATTTACTATTTTATAAGTACGAAATTGTAATTTTTTATTATAATTAACTACATTAAATACTTACAAGATTTATACAACAATTAACAAGTGGAGATATTCATAATTTTAATAGAAATAGGAAAATTATCATCAAGTTGAAGATTATTCACCGCTATTTTAAACATACAAGTACAGCACTTAAAGTAGGCTAATATACAGATTTAAATTTAAAAACGCAAGAAGCTTATTGTGTAGCTTTTTGTCTTTCTCTTTCTTCCTCTCTTTTTATATATTTTTATATATATTTACGAAATAGACATATACCTTATTTCTTTTTTTTTTGGGTTCCTTTCCATCACTATCGTTCTTCGGTCTTTATGTTGGTTTTCCGTTTATCGTTCCATTCTCTCTTTCGCTTTCTTATTTATTTTTTTATTTGTTATCTATCTATATACACATCATAAATATTTTTAATGACACTTAAACTATAAAATGTATCGATAATATTGATAAATTATAAATTTTGTGACGATATTCGTAATAAATACTAAATATCTGTCGATCCGTCTTTTTTTTACAATTATTTCCAAGCTTTTTTCAAATTATTTATCTCTATCTATTATTGTGAAAGATATGATGTTTTATTTTATATGTTAAAATTTTTTAATGTTCGTGATAAAGACCAAGTGTTATTCAATGTTTAATAATATGTGAATATCCCTAAAAAGTATTTACTTAAAAATGAGCTGATTTTTTTTTTATTAAAATACAATAGTGCTGGAGAATTTCATGCAAGTGAAATTTCGTGAAATACTATAAAAAAATGTTTGTAATTTCAAAGAATAAACGTTCTTTATAAACGTTTATCATAACGTTTTATAAACGAAAAATTTATTATAAAAAAAAAATTTATTATTCGTTTTAAAAACGAAAACGTTTATTATAACGTTTTGTAAACTTTTTATAAACGAAAAATTGGCTTTTTTTATGACAAATGTCGTCTTATTATCAATGACATTCTAATTTGAATGGAAGAAAATGCTCTAGAAATATCATCGTGAAAAGCAGTCGATTCTAAGAGCAAGTAACTACAGAGGAAGTAATATTCCTCGTAAGAAAGCATACAAAATACTGGATAATCGAATACTTCGTTGGTGATGATCTATCGATTCGCGAAAGGGTATCGATTAGTAAAGGACAGAAAAGCAGCGTCTTAGCGAGATTACGATGGACACTATTGGACCATGACTTATTGACACGTGGAATTCAAGATCCGCCGCAAAAGAGAAGCGAGGTATATTGGTGCGCCACGAGATGATTATCGACTGTTCCCGATTGACCTGCCCCCCCCCTCCATCCCACTCAGGGCAACCGATTTGCTCGCGCGCGCGTTTATATTTATAAAACGGCGACGGATCGCCGGGGGCGCGAGGGTGTAACTCTGCCACGGGCGAGCTCGCGATACGTTCGCGGACTGCCGCCGGTGGCGCGTGCACTACATCTCGGAGACGTCATCGCGGCAGTAGTCGACCAGTTGTTGTTGCGGTGGGCTCGCGGCATCCATCCTGAGCAGTGGGCCCTGTTCGCGCGTTGCCGACCCCCCTAC